AGGAAGAAAGGATTGCAGATGTCTAAAGCAGATTTGTTTTCTCCCTGCCTCCAATTTTGCATCTGTTTGTTTTGATGACGTTAGCTAGAGGCAGACCAACAGAGGAAATAAGAGTTATATATTCCTGCTGCAAAATCAGGCATGTTTCATCATCAATAACAAGAAACCTTTTCGTTCTAGTTGCAGAGGCATAATCATCACATTTTCAAGCAATTTTTAAACCATTTGGACATTTTGCTTAATTTGTGGACTGATATAAACGTAAAATATTCAAATTAAATATACTCAAGTAACATATATACCCAGTCATTTCTTCTTATTCTCTTGCTGTAGCAACTCTTTATCTTAAAATAGTTTATCTTTTCAATATGAAGAACACGAATCAGCTATTTATTTCCCTACTTTAAGGTTCTTCTGAGGAGATATCAATGTATACCACAGTAAGCTAGCTGTCATTTACTTTGTTTTGCTCAAGTATTATTGTTCAACTGGAGGGATTTGCTGTTGCCAGAGATAAGGGTGGAAGCACAGAACTCATCTCCTTTCTTGGGAGCTGTTTGATTCCCATACCCTCGGTCTACAAGGGAAATCTGGGCCAAAAACCAAATGGTTTGTGGTGCAAAATGGTGCATTAATGTTTCTAGATATAATTAAAGTTGTAAAAAAAGCCTCCAAGGCAGATTTATAACTTTGATGTCTTCACATGGTGGGAATTCTCAGGAGAACTGAAAAAATTCACTTTTCCTGTTAAAGACTTTTCCCATCCTTCTCTGGATCTGTCCACGTAGCTCTTGGTGCACCTTGGCATTGTTACCTCCATGGATAGTCAGATTTTTATGGGCACAGGTTTGTGTTTGGTGAGAAAAAGAGAAGCATTAAATGGGGTTTATTTAGTGCATACCCATAATTGTAACTCTAGGATCAAAACCAATATAATTTGCCTTAATATCTTGCTTTTTAATGACACTGAAATAACAGCTCCAGATGATAAAATCTGCCTGGAGAATCTGGATCATGTCAGGCAGCTTAATTGCTGTTTAATTTTTCTTTATTTCTTTGTATCAAGTGTGTTGTCATACCCCAATGCATCTGCCTTAATTATTAAAAATATCCTTTTTTTATTTAATGACTAACATTGACCAGTTTGAATTGTACACAATCTATCACTCCAGTGATGTTATTGTTTCCCAAATTGTCATGATTTCTGTTAAAAGAACCATGGATTTAATAGAAGCAGAAGCATAGCAATAAAATATAATACATCTTGTGCTTGTTCTGCAAAATATGCCTCTCAATTAAAAAAAAAAAACAAACCAACAAACTGAAAAAGCTAATTTTGCCTATTTTCATTGTTAGAAGTCAGTGCTATATCACAGCTCTTAAACACATAAATAATTGATACCTTGAAGAAAAGTGGGGTTTGTGTCTGAAATTTAATATCGTGTTCAGGAACGGGTTTATAACCAATCTTTTAGTGATAAACCACATTTAATGGAACCAGAGACGGGTCATTCAGCTGAGAGTTCTTAGGATAAACAAATTTCTTGTGAATTTAGAGAGTAACAGCTCCATTAGAGTTTTTACAAGAAGAAAGAGTGACTTGCTAATCTAGTGGAGGTTTTTGAAGAAATTAATGAGCATATGGCTAAGGGAAGTCCATTTGCTGTGGTATTTGACTATCCAAAAATATGTTCAATATTTGATTTTAACTGATAAAAGAAAGTGAATGGAAAGGTTTTCTTGTAGAAAATGATGTCTGATTAAAATAAATACCTAAAGGGTGAACAAAAGTGCAAATTTAAGAGTGGAAGGACCTCACTGACATTATTCTAATGAAACTTGATGAAATCCTGGCTGGTCAATGAATAAGAAAGTTATTAAAAAATTAAAAAAATAGGAGAATGTTCTGATAATTTAGGAAATATAATTATAATATTGTTTAGGAGCTATTGTCTAGTATCATGCTTTCCACACATCTCATGTTGTTGTGTCTGAACTGAACACCAAAGTAAAAAGTATCTCTAATGTGGTAATTTTAAATTTTAGGAGTGGTACTCTTGTTTAGCTCAGATTGAAAAATGGACAAATGTGACAAAACCATGACTGGAACTGCAAAGAAAATAAGGAGCTTGTACAATAAAGTACCTGCTCCCTGAAGGTAGAGATTGTCTTTGGATTTCAGGAATAATCCTCCTAAAGCTAAGGAAGATAAACACTGCTGAGCTTGTACGGTCATAGCTGAAAAAATAGAGTTAAGTGCTGTGCTTGGCAATTAAACTTAGAAAGGAAATTGCCTTCAAGTTAGAAATGAAAGTTCAGCTTTGTCTTGTAAGGATTTCACACATATTTCAAATAAAATTTAATACATCTCAGACATGAGATGAATTAACAGACATGGCAAATATTAACATGGCTCCAGCATGCCTCCTCTTTAAGGTCCCCTCAGAAAACCTTTCTTCTGTTTTGTCACAGCTCTACTTTTCAATAATTATTAGTCTATGACTGCAGCTGTTAAAGATGGTTAATTTATTTCATTGGTGTGTCCTGTAGGTACGGGTGTGTTGGTGAGTTACACATGCACACAGAACACATCTGTGTGAACTATTCTTTTCCACTATGAAACAGCATAATTTTTTTTTTCAATATTTAGCTATGAGGAACATTTGAAAACCTGCACTTTTCTTAGGAGAGAGTGTCAGCGTTCAGGAACACAAATAATCACGGGATATGATTCCATGCAGGTGCTTTTATTGAGAGCTCTGTGAATCAGGGGTACAGACCCAAATCTGACTCTGACATGGCTTTCAAGCTGAACCTATTTTATATTCTATCTTTATATAACTTGCATTTTAATTATTAAACTTATATTGTTCTATTGCATACATTGACATGAGTTTCTCGTGATCTTTCTTAGGCCCCTGACCACAGTTTCTCATGATTATTCTTATGATTAAACAGTAAATATATTTAATTACTAAACAATCATCACATCTAACAATTATCTCATTTATCATGGACTAGCTACACAGGTGCAGCTCTAGCAAGGCACAAGGCCTTCATGTACCTAAGGTATTTATTTTTTCTTTTCAGGGCCTACTAAGATTAATTTTCCTTTGAACCCTAAATCCCCATGATCTTAAAACCCCTTTACTAGCAAGAGGAGTAATTTACCTCTGTTTTACAAGCAGATTCAGCGCTTTGCACACCAAAAGATTCCATTCTGCTTGGGTGAAAATACTTCAGAAACAGCTAAGATTTGAATAGGCCTTTCAATCCTCAAGTAATGCTTGATGAAAACGCAGTGAGGAATAACACCTTCTCAACATTTGTGGATTTTCTGAATGTGTTCTGCATTGTCCCTGCCCATGCTGGTGACAAAGAGTTTGTTTTCTTCTGGTGCCTCCTCAAGCCTGGCACAGCAACAAGAGAGAGCCACATTTTGTCATGTTCCATGCAGTTATTATTCAAGTGCTGAAGGCAAAGCTTTTATTTTTGGCTGATAAAGAGATGTAGCATGAGGTGTTTAGGTTCTTGCTGAGCTTTGTGGGCTGGTGAAAACCTGTGTGAAATCATGACATGGTGCAAAATCGGTCATTGGAGTGAAGATTTCATTTGAGCATCTCCTGGAAGTTTTTAAGGTTTTTAAGGAGAAACACTCCCTGAAGCCCACCTGCATGGGAGCTTTGCTTTATTTTTTCAAATATGTGCTTGTTCATCACCATAATCAACTTACAACTTCAGTTCAGTTTATCTTTGTCTCCATCATCACCCCACACCTGGGGATTGCACTACCCTGGGCTGTCTCCTGGCTGAGAGGAGCAAATTGCACTGGTCACTTTTTCTTCTCTGCACCTTTAAGTTAATGAGGAATTAAATTATTTGTGACTTTCTGTCTGGGTGGTGTAAGGATTTCGTAACAGTATGATTTCAGAATTAATTTTTGGGTACTGCTTGAGGTGAAACTGCCAGCTTTCTGAGAAAACCTGAAATGTAAGTAAACATCTGCCCTGTGGTGCTCTCAATTGCCAAAGTGCAGCTGACCTGCAAAGCAGAAGGTCCTTTGGGCCACAGAGTAACACTGGCTGCCAGAATAATTCCTATGATTACCTTCTCTCCAGATTCTGCATCAGAACTGAGGAAAGGAAAATCTCAGATTCTCACTTGATTGTTGAATAAACTGCCAATTGTTTGTACATAATGAATTTTCATCATTTTCTCAATGTACATTTGTGGATTGATCACAATAGCTGAATTCTTTTGTTCCTGTGCCCAAACGGAGTGGCTTCAAAAAAAAAAAAAAAATGTATGCAGAAATATCTTGATTTTAAAAACAATGTATGCAGAAATATCTTGATTTTAAAAATAGATTAGGTCTACAAGTATTTCTGGTGAATACATTAATGATGAATACCATACATAAAATTATGAACACTGGAACATTTCAGTTAAATACATGCTTTGAGACTTGCTGATTAAATGGATAAACCTTCAAATATTTTTAATGTAACTGAATGACAACTTATGTCTATTTTCATATTTCTAGAGATAACTGCAATAACAATTTGTAGCACTTTGGTTAAGTGCTGAACTTTGAGGGAAGAGCAGCAATATGGAACTTTGCAGTAATTACAGGATTTTAAATTTACTTTTAACAATCACTTCAATATTTGAATGTGAGGATTTTTTCATCATTGTGTCCATAAAACCCAAACTCACAAGTCTTCAGCTAGAACAAGCTAAAAGAAATTGAAAGTTTAATTCATTTTATTACTTGTATAATGAGAATAGTTATTTGCAAGAAATAGTTTAGTAATTTTTTTTTTTTAATTTCTATGAACAGGTGATATAGTCAAGTATTTTAAATTTCTTCTAAGCTGGATTTGGCATGATTTTCCGTGATATTCTGGATTTATTTGTATGCTATTGCAATTAGTGACTTGGGGCTCAGAACAGTCGATCATTTCAGTCAAATTTTTTTTTTTTTTTTTTTGCATTTGCAGGGTGCTCTGGCCCACTAGGGATAGAAGGAGGGATTGTGTCAAACCAACAAATCACTGCATCTTCCACTCACCGAGCTCTTTTTGGACTCCAGAAGTGGTATCCCTACTATGCACGGCTTAATAAGAAGGGTCTTGTGAATGCCTGGACTGCTGCAGAAAATGACAGATGGCCATGGATTCAGGTAACAGATGGAGCCAAGGAGGAAAAAAAATATCCTTGATTCAATTTCCAGTGTCACTTAAGAAACTGATGAAGACAAGTGGTTAATGAAAGCTATATCCTTATTCACTGTCAGGGACATAGCTGGGGCTAAAATGGGCTATTTTGTTGCAAAACAGTGATAATCTTGACTTTACAAATGTACAAGCCCTTTTTTTTTTTTTAAATTTAAAAAGCCATGTGCATATGTTCCATTGTGGCATCCAAACCGTGGAAACAGATTTATGTAGACTCCTTTCAAAAAAAAAACTGCTTTCCACATATGTTGTATTTGGTGGTCAGCTCCTTAGAAGCATATCACAGCTTTATGTCTTGGTGGAGATACCCTGACACCTGCTAAAGGTTGTAAAGTGTGGTTTGGGCAGTGCCAGAGCATGCTGGAAGAGCTGGTCCTCTTTGCTGAGCTGCTCTGGGCACACAGATTAAGTACTACTGGAAGTAACAGGAAATGTTTTAATTAAGGTTGAAACAGCTGTTTAGTTCAGACACATCCATGAGGCTGAAAATACACATTTTCACATCCTACTCAAGCATGTTATTGCTAGAGTGATTCAAATGACAGTGCCCTCACTGTGTACTGGATTTCTCCGCGCCCAAAAAATTACTTCAGTAAAAGTAGAGAGTATGAAGTCCTGTAGGAGCGTTTTAATGGAGATAATTATCTAGTGGTTGTTGTAGCTCTTTGCTTGGATTGTGTTTTCATGATATGGGAATTGGGCAGAGCTTTGGCAATTTCAGCTGTTGGTTAATAAAGGTCAGTGAGTTGGATACTGATGTGAAAACTTTAATGGTCAATGTGTGAGGAGGATGCTTCCCTTCCAGTGAATCCACTGCAGGATTTAGCAAAATGAGGTATTTGAACATTTTATCCGCCAGCATTAAGTTGAACTGTCCATAATGCCCTCAGCTGTGTCAGACACACTCTAATTGAGGCTACCTTGGTGTCCATAGCATTAATATTGTTCATAGTAAATGTTTTTGCTCTGACTTTCATTTTTTATTTTTCTGAGGGGCTCCGACATATCTAGGGGTAGAAGCATACAGAATTACCTGCTCATTTTTCTTGTATGGAGAGCAGACACAAAGCACTGTTTGCTGAAGTCTTCTTAAACTGGTGCACTGGGAGTGCTGGATTTTGTCACCTCTGAAAAGGAAAAGTGGTGTTACTGCTTGTTATTTATTGCAGAGTGAAAACACAAAGGCCCTTCAACGTGTCGTAAGTCAGTTCTCCTCCATAAAGATCAGAGGGGTTAGGAAGTCTGTAAAATTTACACATTGAAAAGAACTGGAAAGGATCATGCAGGGAAACCTGAGCAGATTTATTTCCATGGGAGTGGAAAGATAATGTAACTTTAATACATATTGAAAAAGTCCTCTTTTGGGCTGTATTAGAGTGTAGGCTTTATTAAATGAGCTGGAGAAAGATCTCAAAATCATTTAGCACTGGCTCCTTAGACCTGTCTTTTTTGAGGAGAAGAACTGGATAGGGATATTTAATGGTCTAATGCTTCCACATTTGCTCTTGGCACCGTGGGGGCAGTTCCCAGGCTCCCTTGGACTTTGCTCCCTGGGAAGTCTTCCCTCTGCTCTTGCTGCAAGGGACATCCTTGGGCCAGTGGAGAAAACGTGTCTAAAATCATCTAAATCATGCCCATGGCGTCAGGTCTGAAGAATTTGTTCTTTTTTCTTTGGAGGTTTGGGGGTTACTCCACTACCTTACAGGTAATTTTGACAGCCATGGGGTGTGAGGACTTTTGAGAAGCTTACATCACACAATTAACATGTTTTAACCATTCCCTTATTTTCCTTCTCATTTTCTTGCAAAATAAACTTTAGTCTATCATTTTCACAAAATTTGCCAAATGCTATTTTTTAATACTCTTTTCTTCAGTTTGTGGCAAAATTAAAAATATTCTTTGTCATTTTAGAGCAGAAATCTTCAGAGGATTTCTTTCTTTCCTTTTGCTTTCTTTAAAACACCCGGAACAAGAAAATCTGAAACTTTTTTTTTGGGGGGAGGAGATGCTAGTTGCAAGGAAAAAGTGTTTTTTAGTGTTCTACAGAAAACCTATTTAGATCTGGCAAGGTGGAGACTCACAGACTCACACTTTATGCATAGCAGATCTTTACATCAGAGCACAGTCTTGTTCTTCAAGTTTTAAGAAACAAACAAAGTGTGGGCGAGCAATTTGATGAGAGGAGAAGCAGAAATCCCACGTCTTATTTCTCCATTTCTGTAATGCTCCATAAATTTTCATGGAGGGGTACAAAAAGTCAGATTTGGGCTAAATTTTTGGCTCATGGGAGACAAGATGTCAAACCCTCTACTTGGGTTTTTACTCTGTTGTGTCACCAGCTTCTTCCCAGACCCTGCTGGGAGCAGGAATCTTTTCCTTGCTGCTCTGAGTGACGAAGCGCTTGGTCCAGAAGAAGAAGGAACTGAAAAATGGTGTGAGTGTTTGGCAGAGATTAAGTGGGAAGTTACAAAGCCAGAAAATCCATTTTTAGGACATACAAATTAACATTTAGTGCAGTGAACCTGAAGCAATCGCCTGTTCCCCTCTTGTAGCTTCTAATGGTAGATAAATTCTAAAGGAAGCCGTGTATAATGGGCAAAGTCCCTCAAAGTATGATTATGTACAAGCCTGTAGCTATTTTTGCCTTGTTCCATCATTATCAACATTCTTTGCCATTTAATTCCTTTATTTATATGCAGCCTGGCAAATAAAAGGTTTGAGTGTTCTTCTTATAACTCACTTGTAATGAGTGGAGAAGTTTTGTTTTTTTCTCTAATCTTTCAGGTGTCTGATACACATGAACTAATTAGTATGCAATTTCATTTTCCTGCATTCTCCTAATGAACTGAAAATTGAAATTGCCATTTTAAATTTACACTCTCAGCATGTAATTAGTAATGGCACTACAATGCTTGTAATTGGCTTGTGATTTAAAGGGTCACTGACCATGTTTTTGGAAGCAAATTAAAGCCTGAGTAAGTCATATCTGCCTTTTAAAGTTCTCCTGACCTCTGTTTCTCCTCACAGGTTGGCTGTGATAAAATAACACCTGTGTGCTGCTTAGCACTTTATTAGTGATATTAACTTTTATGGTTTGGAAATGCAATGACAAAAAAAATTGCATACATTTATTTTTCATTAATTGGTCCTGAAGTATCACCAAAAAGCTAACATTGACTGTTGCAGTTATGAGTCTTTTTTTGTCAACTCTTTTTTCTTTTCTTTTTTTTTTTAATTTTTAAGCAGTTTCTCTTTTCCCTTCTATCTTTTTGCATTTATGGTTTTAAAAAAAATGTTGGTTTGTTTTTTGTCTGATTTCACTTCATCTTTTCTCATTCCTTGCATCCCTATTTTTCTACTCCTGTATTAGTTACTCTTTTTAAGGCAGTACGAATCAGAATAGATATGGCCATGGGCAGGATTATTGTTTATGTTCTCCCTCTACCATATCCAAAATCATGGATATGATCCTGCCCATGGATTATTATCTAATAAAAAACACAAACTTCCAGCAGGAGTTTGTGAATTTTACTCCTCTTCAGTGAATTCCAACCTATGAATCCATGCCTGTGCCCTTACACTTCTCCTCTCCCACTTTCAACACTCCCAGGCTGGTCTCCCTGTTTTAACCACCCTCAAATTTCTTAATTCATTTTTCCCCTATTGACAACTTTTACGTATTTTGTGGTTTTTTGGACACGGAAATTCTTTTTAGAAAGTGTAAAACCCACAGCCACCAAGAACAGATTGCAGCAGAGTTTACACCTGGAGAATTTTGAGAAAATGCACTAATTACTGAGCATCATGCCACTATTTGGGAGATGTGTTTGAACACCTGACCTGCTGCTGGAGACTGTTGTGTATAAAAGTAAAGTGTTAAACAGAATAATAAAACCCATATTTTGTTATCTCTCACTAAAATGACATAAACTGTTTCTCCAGAGACATTGGTATGGTTACAAAACATTTTTTTTTTAATAAAATATTCAAATATTTATTTTGTTGTTGAGAGTAGTTGGAGGTTTGAAGGATTAATTTACAAAACAGGTAGACTGCTCAGTTTGGTTGCAGAAGCAAAAGTGGGTAGTAAAATTAGTTCAAGCTGACTATTCAGCTTTTTTCCTCTAGTTTTTATTGCATACAAGATGATCCAAATATTTACTCTGAGGTTTCTTCTTCAAAGAATTAATCCTTTTCCATTTATATTTCATATGTTTTTCTGTTTGGAATCAATTGTTGAAAGTCAAGTTGTAATGTCAAAATGGAAAAGCTACAGATTTTACTTAGAATATATGGAAAGACAAATATAATTCTATAATTTTGCTAATTTATTCCCCAAATGTTTTTCCTGAAATTATGTGCTAAAATTCAGATTAAACACAATACAGCAGTTTGATGGAAAATGTGCCCAGCCTCTGATTAGAAATTTAAATATATTAGTACTCCAGTCCAAAGTAAAATATATTTGGTTTATTTACCCTTTCAGTGTGTCTGTTGTAAATAATACCTTTTGCTGTTTTAAAATTTAGCTTATTTAATAATTGTGCCCAACTTTAAGGAAATTTCTTCACTATATTTCTTGAAACTATGAGCAAACACTTTTGCTGCAGATATTTTTCATAAAAAAGATCACCTGTGATGGAAAGGGACCTAACTCAACAGAGTCAGGACAAAAAAATTCCCTGATTCTGTCTTATTTAGAATTAATTTATTTAGTCTTTTATGTTGTTGTTGTTGGAAAGCACAGAGAATGCTTTAAAAGGAAAAAATCTAATTATATTGGCATATAATTGCTGTTAGGTAGAATTTATGTTTTGATTGAGGCTTAATATGTTTTTTACACAAGTGTCTCCACACCACTTTTTGTTTCAATTCCACCTCTTGTGCTCAGCCTCCCCTTTTTTGAGACTTCCAATCCCTTAGCAAAATTAAATCTGTGACTATG